CAATGATTGATCCATGATTTCAATAAAAAGTAATCTGAATAAGCCGAGTATAAGGAACTGACTAGTCAGTCAATTTCAGGAGTTTTTGACAATAATAATGACGTACTGTGATCAGTAAGATTAGATAAGATAAAAATATTTTGAGTCTTCGCATCAGATGATCTTTCAGCATATCGTCAATCCTGATGATTATCTTCAGTTTATAAGAAAGTATAGAAATCCTGTGTGGTAACTACAGAAGAGATTAGTTTGACTAATAAATTTTATATTCCTAAATCATTTGGAATATATATTTTACTTCAGTTGGTTTTAAACCCTTATTGTTTGATCGATAACAAATTAATTTTGTTTAAACTAGTATAACTTAGTAACTAACTACAAGTCTAAGTGATTTATTTATTTAAACATAAATACTGGTATAAATAGGCACTACAATAAATATGTGTCATATGGTACAGTAAGTGAGATTGTAAAGAGATGGAGGAAAAAAGGTAGGTATAATCATAAACAATGCATGAAAAATAAGTGAATGAGAGTAGTCACTCTAGAAAACATCATCAGCATAACATTTCTCTACAACTGACTAACAGATCGTTTGTGCTGATTGTATGTCTAGATAGATAATGAGAATTTCACAACTGAAATAACTAAAGCACCAAGAACGCCATTTCAACCAAATTTTGTGAGGATTAATGGACTTTATAAATTATATCATATAATGACTTTAGTTAAATATTCGTTAAAAACCGGGAAACACTGGATAACTGTTTCGTCTTAACATGGGACTCTTCAACAGTATGTATCAATGACCCCGCTGCAGGTTGAACTACGGATTCTAGGTCTCACAACAAACACTTGACATCTAAACCGTTAGCTTATGGCAATTAATAATCATACGCTTACTAGTGACTAACTTTAAGAAGTACATTGACGAGCTATGATCAGTGGAGTCCAAACATATTAACTGTCAGTCAATTACTAACCAATGACAATGATAAACGGTTATGTAATATCGCAAATCCATTGAATGCCAGCCGGTTAGTTTAAAAGTGAAGTGCTTTCTGCATGACCAGTCTTTGGTTTAATTCGCGGTGGAGTTGTAAGCATGCATTGCTACTGAGGAGTCTGCTGCTAAAATGAAACACTTGTCCAGTACCTCCTTTCAGAACTTAGAGACCTTAACATCTTTAAAATACTGTTTTGTTTCATCTCTGATGGAACATGAAATACAATCTATTTCTTTGAAAAAGAAGGGACAAATTAGTCATAACCTGTTGTTATTATATTTCTCAATAAAGGATTTCAGTCCCATATACACACCTAAGAAAAGTGTTATGTATATGTGGAAAGCAACTTTTCAGTTATGTGTAAGTGATACATGTAACTCGCTATAAACCAAATTTTATATATTTTTAAGACAAAATTTAGTGATGATACAATACAAGATTGTATACTGGGCTGAGTTAAACCTATCCCATGTAAGATGGACCTTTCTAGCCATTTAGTTCACAAGATGCAGTATGCAGCTGAAGATGTGATCTTTGTGGTTTAGTAACCAGGATATTTAACAAGAAATCATAGTGGGTCTCGTACCATATGTTCAAAAAAGTTGATTTCCTATCTGAAAGCTTTCAGAATGATTTCGTGTTAATAAGATGGTCTCAATTGTTAAAGTTAGTGACGCAGAGTCATTTGAAGGCTCTGAACGACTTTGATATATGGTATGTGTTTCTCTTTCTCTTTAAATGAGGGATTTCGTTTTGAGATTGGTTAATGTCAATTCCTTAGACTAATTATAGGAGGTGGAATGATCAAGTTTTTACCTACTTTGTGAGACTTTCGGTAGACTATTTTAATTAAAATGGTTTGAAAGCAATTCCAGTGAAACAGATGCATTCATTCCCTTAGAGCTCGGGAGTTTTGTTACTATGTTACATTTCGATCTAGCTAGTTGTATTCAGAGTATATTTTGCATTTTTGATTTTCGTCACCGATGGTATTACTATTGTTCTGACTCTTACCTCTTTCCTTTAAGTATACTGATGACACATCATAAAAAAAATAAACACTCGTGTAAATCCTATCGTCTTTATGACTAACTGACTAATAAAGGCGTAAATTATTTCATCAAAATATATAATTCTCAAGTGAGCAAATTAAACATTAAGAAGCTTACAAAATAACAAGCCAGTCACCTGTTGTTGAACCAGTAGAAGCTTGAGTATCGTGTTCAAAATTAGCATCATCCAGTCGAGCCGACTGTACACCTGTAGTAAACTGATGCATAGCATTAATGAGGTGAGTGCGATGAAGTGGGCCTTTAAAAACATGAAAAAAAAATAGTGAATATGACAATAAGTCAGTGGAAAATAAGACTTGGACCAAGTAAATCATGCATAGATCCTGACTTAAACAACATATATATTCATGTGGTTTCAAGTAACTAAGAGAAAAAAATATAATGTTGAGCTTTTTTAAAATGATAGAAAACGCTATGAGTAGCAAGTGTGATCATGTGTTTCTCTTAGTAGGAATTTTTAAAATGTGTATACTTTTATTCATTGACATGAGTTTAACGTAAAAACATAGGGAACCTAATGAGAGATTTGACACAAGATCTTTTTATTTTCCTTTCTGAGGTCGCTCTATAATAATTAAAAACTCACTATATGACTACGAGATATCTCAATTCACAGACACATACGACGCATAATTACGAAGAAAACTCAATGTACGTAAGCTTGAAATTTATTTAGGTGCTGTTTGTAACTAATTCATTACAATAAAATTTACCTATAGTTTCAATTTTATATCCCACTTTACTCCCACGTAGCGCATACTTTTTTATTTAACTTAGAAGTTCATCTCTGTCCAGTTCTCAAGTGGTTGCATAATTGTTTTTGTGAGTGCTGTCATCGAAAATGCAATCTGACACAGTTTCTGAAGGTTCGCACATTAACGTAGACAAGTCTGGCTGCCTTTAGAGAGTTTTGGCATCGGACCATGCTGTAAAATTTGATACCTAATGTTGTTTCCTAAACTTAATGGTCCAATTGAAGTATTTTTTGATGCTACCGTGTCACTGGAAATTACTTATATACTAAAGTTTCATACAAAACATTATAGAATTTTTGGTCGTACTTGAGTATTATAAACTCAGAGATACTTATTTCCACTCAGTAGATCCCAGTTCGTTTTTAGCTTTTTAATGAGCGCAACATTAAAGTGTAACTGGCTTTACATTGTTTTGGATAATGGAATTATAAAAACAAGAGATTCTAAATAACTCGGCATACAAACATGTACTAGCAAACACCTCAGATTTACTTAAAGTAAACGACCTAATCAAGTAAATGTACATTTATCTACTAGCCATTTAGATACTCATTATTTATAGTATTTATTCCCTATGACTCAATAAAGTCTAAGTGGTTAAAAAGCAAATATAGCCAAAAACAAGCACTTCAGAACTTTTGCTTGTAATAGCAACGAAGTCAACCAAAAAACTGAACTAATAAAGGTCTTTCAGGCTATTGCAGAAGTTTAAGGGGGAGAAGTATGTAAGACAATGTGTAGCCTGAGTGCAGTCATATTCTAAGCTTGAGACTAGTAAATATTAACTAGCACTAGTGTAAGCGGGAGCAGGGAAATTTATGTACATATCATTTTATTTTTTTTTAATACATGTAGACTAGATATTATAGGATTCCTGGGGTCAACATTAGCGAATCAGAAAAATTAGATTTGTACTTGGCTTTATCATTCAACCCAGTCTATGAAATTGACCTAATTCCGCTACCGCTACCATACCTTTTTATTTAGGTGTGTACTTAAAATAAGAAAATCCCTCAAAGTAACAAAACGACCAACCAGATCGACAGGTCAGCAGAGAAGCCAATAAGTGGCTAAAGTAAACAGAAAAACCTAAGAAGAGTGAAAATTGTATTCCGAACTTAAATATGCACTTATAACAAACAATAAAAACTGGAGTCATTGAATCGACAACGATAGCACATAAAATTCAGAGGTAAATGTAACATAATTAACAGTGTGATACTCCCTTAAACACCCAAATATACACAAATTTACTTACCCAAATAAGGGAGTTTCCTTTCACTGTTTAAAAACAGTACAGCTGGTGCAGACATCATACTAATCCAAGGTACAGTCATATCATTGAGATGAAAAATATCACCTGACAAGGTGAAAGGTTTTCTAAATAAGGATTTCTATCAACGTACCACTGTAAAGGACATCAGAGGAAATTTCGTGAAGCAATTTTGTATGTAAATGGCATTCATTACAGTCATCAGGAACTAAATGTAATATATTGTCAAGTAAACACTATGTATTACTTATGAATAAAAGTGCAGCACTCGACCCTTCTACATAATCCGAAAGATTCAAGTTTAAGGCATCTTGTTGCGTAATCTTTTTAAGGTCAGCTGAGATTCCAAACGATACGACAAAAAACGACAAATACAATAACTCGTGCCAAAATGCAATCATCCCGTGACCTTGAGACCAAATACAGTCCCCGTACACGCTGTATCCAATATCAAATACCTTAGTAACTGGCTAGTATGTACCAAGTTATTTCTTTGAGCTCGATTCTTGTTCTTTCGGTTTGGTTTCAGGTATTTGGTAATGCTCAATGGATTGTGGTCTAGCTACTTGACTGCACCAATTGTAATCACTTGGTAGTTGTTTGTGGATTTGTATGTCCCGTGATTTAAATAGCTGCACTTGTTTCAGGGGAGTGGGGTTTCCGGATACCAGCAGCTATCGGGTTACTAGGTTGTTATTTGCAATAAAGGAGAATAATAAGCAAAAAATTCAAATGCGAATAAGAAGATTTCAAAACTAAGTAAGTCGATTAATTGCTAGTGAAGATCGTGAGAGAAGACCGAAAGGAAAGGAAACAGAGATAATAAGCAAGGTGGGTGATCTGAGGAAATGGCAATAATAACAACTAGCAAATCTTAATACATGCATAAGGCACAGCTGGTCCCCTCGACGGGGTCAGCGTTCTTAGTTGAAACAACTGTTGATGAGAAGTGTGAACGAACCTGGGTGTTCGCTCTTTGATGCGCAGTTTTTTAAGGATTACCTCTAGATGGGTGGTGGTGATACCTCGGTAAGATGCTCACGTTGGGATGGTTTGGCGTATTTAATATGTTGTACGCCTTTATCAGATCACCTATGATTCACCTGTAACTCAGAGAGAATTATGCAGTGTGCAGGAGACTTTCTTCTTAAGTTTTTGTTTAACAATATCTACTATTTAGTTTCTCATCTTCGCACTCTGTCTAGTAGATTTTAAGGAGGGGGCGTGAGCCGACGCTTAGAATCTCAAGATATGGGCGTGCATATGTTTTAAACAACGTTAGAATAATTCTGGGGTGATAACACCAAGTTGTCTCCGCATAAACTGAAGAGTTGCATTAGTCTTGGCTGCGTCCCATTCACAGTTTAAACTGGTATCTTAGCCTTCAGTGCTTATTAGACCTAGATCGTGCTCTGAGAAAACATCTATCTAGGGTGTATGCTATTTGCGTCGTGTGGAGCAGAATGTTCATGTAGTGACATTTCATGTGATTGAGATTTAACCCGTTTTCCGCTGTTCATTCTTCAATTAATGCATGGTCTTTTTGAAGTTCAACTGAATCCTTTTCGCTTTTTATGCACCTCCAGATCTTTTTACTGTCCACGTAGATTAGTGTCGTTGGGTTAATTTTGTCTGACATACCATTTATGAATATCAGGAAGAGGAGTGGTTCTAATATAGTCTGCTTTGGAACTCCTGATTTTGGGATTTGCCAACTCGCATGAACTGTACATACCTTGGTATGAAACTTTCTGCTCTCAAAGCAGTTTCCGAGCTAAGATAAGAGTGGATCAATGAAGCCCATCTTCGCAACTTTCGCTATTACGAATGCCTGTGGTACTGTGTCGAAGGCTTTTACGAAGTCAAGGAATATTATGTGCACGGGTATTTTTCGGTCCCAGCATGTTGTACAGTTGTCCCATGCTATGAGAAGATTGGATGGACATGATCTGCTTGTCGGAAACCAATGCTGAGCTTTATTGAGGAAGTTTTTTTATACATGTACCTCATCTCTTGTTCCTTCCATTGCCTTCGACTGTATTGACAGTAATGCGACCCTAGTTCGTAGATTTTCTTTTAGTAATGAACCTTAACATATATTTCGGGTTTGCCTGTATTTTTACAGCTAGCGTCATTGGAAAAAGTATCCTATCACTTCGAACCTTGGCGTTGCATTCGTTTCTCAGTGCCAGGTAAGAACTACGATAGGAATCGTTCTGAGAAATCTGCTAATCATGCTGGGCTCTCCGGTTCGCTATTAGAAAACGCTCAGGAGCTAGCTTAAGCCATGCTCTTCTCTATTCTGATATGTGATTTTCCCTAGGTACGATGTGTAGGACTGTATTCCAGATGATGTCTTTCACTATTCTCAATTGATCTTCTACTATTAGCTTCCAACATTTCCGTGGCCACAGGATGTGCAGAAGATGAAGTCTCTTGCACGTGTAATTTTCCCTAGTGTAGCACAAGCAGGGCTCATTTTCGTTGCTCCCAAGTACTTCGTTTGTTACCATGCTAAATATGACTGCACCATGGTCACTTTTTCCTAATGGTATGTGGACATGGACATTCCCGATCGCTTGTTAACAAATGATCCAAGTTTTGGGATTTTCCATCCTTACTACATATAGTGGTGCTCCATACATGCTCAGTCAACCCGGAACTTCTAATAGCTACTCCGAGTCGTCTTTGTGACGAAACTCAGGGAACTGAATTGTTTGCTGAGATTTACAGATGGAGTGTTTAAATCTACAGCTAACAGTATTTGATCAAAGGAGTAGCGGTTGCGGTATTGTCTCAGTCAGTTTATTTTCCTAGACTTCAGTACTTGAAGGCGTGCAGTAGATCCCTCCAATCAAGTATTTTGTGCCACTAGTGCCGAAGCAACAGCAGCATGAAACTGTCTCATTGGTTAGTGGGGTGTCATGTAGTCTTCAGTCTTTGAAGTGTCTTTATATATATGTAGCCACTAAACCTCCTGTATTGTTTACCCTATAGCATTGAGAGTGCCATACCTTTCTAGCTCACTTCAATGTCTGCAATACCGAAAAACAGCCGTGTTTCAGTTAGAATTAAGATCATCAGATCCATCTGAGAGCACATATTTTTGATCTCGAACAGATTGCCTCTTAGTCCTATCACATTGCCTCAACGGCACTCAATGGTTTGCCTCATTGACTAGTGCACCTCTGTGCTAGGATATTCATCCGATATTGCTGGTCAATTCCTATTGGTTAATTCCTACAGGTTAATTTTATGGTCTTTCTAGATATCAATGTCACGGACTCCAATGTTGTTTATTATTGGTCGTCCGGACTGTCAATGTCATTTCAAATGTTCTTTCCTATTGGTCGTCTTAACTATCCATGTCACAGACTTCGATACTTTTTCCTATTCGACCTAAATGTATAAATACTCGACTCATTAAACAACTTCATCTAGCGGTGTTGCATTCTTAGATTATAGGAGATTTGGGAACAGTATTTGGGTCGCATTGGAATATTTGAATTTGGACGTCGGTAGGACTGAATGGCTACTTAGCAGCATTATAACACTCTGCAGATTTTCAGACAGGTCGTTCATACCGAGGTGTCCAGTTCTGTGGAGACGGGTTTCCGTATTCAGTCGGTGATACCACGATCTTCGTGTCTTGTACTGTGGTTTGTTGATCGAGGTCAACAGTCATAATTATGTGATTATTTTGGCACCCCTCTTGTTTTCTTGCAGACCCAGGTCGAATCTTGGAACATATAACGTGACTAAAGAGACGGTTCTTCATGTTGAAACAATCTCGAAGTGCCCCAGTTGGGTCTTCCAGGATATTGAAGTCCACAGTCATCAGACATGGTGACTTGATAGTCACGAGGTTTGACCAACGAGGGAGCCAGGAAATGTTAACCAGCATAGTGGTGTGAGGGTCTGTATTACGTGGTGGCCGTCGCTATTGTTGCATGTCATGTGCGTGAGCTTCATCCAAGCTACCACTGACCAGCTCGGACACGCCGTGAACTAACAAACAAGTATGCTGTTGGGTGCCTTCTGATTTCCCTGCAGTTGCTCAAACTGACTACGGTTTTCCGTACCGGACTCGGATTGGGGAGTACAGTCCAAGCAAGGGTTTTTAAGATGTTGGGACTACTTTTTCGGCACGTTGTACCGAGTCTGAGATTATCCTCAACAGAGAAGGTTTCTCATTAGTGACGTTCTGAACCTTTAAAAGATGACATAGTTTTGCCAGGGTAGTGCTCAAGCATCTCTCAGTGCTTGTCTCACTTCAGCCCTGCTTTCCAGTAGGCTACCCTCCGACACTGGTGTGTTAAATTAAATTATTGAATTTCGTCTAACGTCTCTATTCGTGATTCATGGCGTTTTTCGTTCTGTGCTGTTGCCGATCCCCTTTATTGCATCCATCCACAGCTCAAATTTATTAACAATACTGGGGAGTTCGATACAACCGGCAATTTTGTTAGTGCAATGGTTCGGGTGATGTATAACTCTGTAACCTGTTTGTTCGGTTTGATGCTGGGAGGTTTTAGTTTGCTTGGGGGACTCGTAGGCCCATTTTCGGCGGGACTTGTGGCTTTGCCAGTGACTTGGTGATTTCGAACTGTGGACGAATATATCAGGACCATTAACAGGCGTGACTCAGCATGAACCCATATTACTGTCTGTAGGATCCAAGCTGAGGTTTGAACTGAGGAATAACTGCCTAGGTTGTTTAGATATGCGCCTTGCCCAGTTAAAAACAAAACAAGTGTTTGGGTGATTGACGGTTCTTATATTTATCATAAACACGAATGTAGATCATTACCTAAATAAATATCACCACTCAGTTATTCCACCAACAATTGTTCAATTATTTAAATCAACACCAACAAATAAATGTTATTCTATCCCTTGTGGATAGATCGGATTTGTTCGAAAGATAATATTTGGTCGCTTTATAACAGAGTGATGGTTATTCTGGAAGGGTGCTTCAATTCACAATCAAGATGGACAGTTCCAGTCAATGCAAGCAACATAATCAAAAGAGGAACAAATTAATATGGCTGTCGCCAAGACTAAGTATCAGCTTAAACAACATAATGCAGTTCATGAAGAAACATAAAAACTCAGTGAAGGCAAAAGAAATAGAAACTATATTAAAATACAAATAGCACCATGTCAAATTGGATCGAACAGACTAACAAAAATTACAACTGAAGGAATCAATAAGAACGAGTTACAGATGTATACGTGGAGGGATTTTTACAAAAAAGCCTTCAAAAATGGATCGTACACTATCTAGGTACTGCAGTGCCCCACTGACAATTGACGCAAATACAGCAGAAGTCGCTGGTTTTGACTGGCAATGCGCAGGCAAAACATATATCACTGCGTGATTTGAATGGTAAGTTGTGTCAATTGAGTTTTAGGATACTTTTATCTCAGATTGTTACTGTGCCTTGTGATAATACTACGAGTAGGAATTAGAAAAGTGTCGTCTTGGCTTCTTTGTTGAAGACCCAGCAGAGGTGTATGGGTCAAGTGAATTCCTCGAGGTACACTGTCGAGGGACATTTTGAATTTTTTCACTACTTTCGCTTGAGATTGGGATTCGACTCACTACCAATCCCGAAATTCAGACCTATATAATTTTCCTGGTTGTTATAATATAAAAACGTAGAAGCCCTACTACTGAACATGTTACCTAAGAGATTTAACTGCAGAAAACGAGACAATTCGAAGAGGAAAATACATGAGATAGGAGTTTCCGAAGGAGGAAAATAATAATATTAAACCTGAGTTAACACAAACTACTCAAGAGTGGAACCTTAGTGTCAGTCACAACTGTAACCTAACTTTTACCGTCCTACTAATCGAATTCACGTGGATCGACTAACTTTTCCAAAAGTCCTATGTTTGCTGTTGAATAAATGTGTACCTGCTACCAAGGCAACTAGGAAGAGAGCAGTTGATCGAGACAACTGAACCTACAACACATCTGTTCTGACTTGGAATGATTCCATTTGTCCGGATAGTTCCGTAGGCTGTCTACCAATGAATGGAGACAAAGTTTATTTCTTCAGAAATGATCAAATGTACCAGTCTGGTGTCAAAACACGAGGCATGCTAATTTACAAGTAAGATCAAAATTTTAAGTCTGCTAACATATTTCCTGTAGACGATTTTTCAGTTAGATAAATATTTCTCAAGATGCGTTGGGTGAGCCTTAAGTTTCTGGGTATTTCCCCTAAGTTTTGCATCTAGACTGAGCTTTATTAGGGTATTTTGGATAGTTTTAGCAGTGTTTAGAGTATCATAATGTGATGCTTAGAAGTATATGAATCAAGAATTAAAGAACTGCACCAACGAATGTATTGTATTTAGAATTCGAAATCAAGCATTTCCTAACAACAAGAAGTTACTAGTTCATTCAAACACCACATCCGCCACCGCTTAAATTGGAATGTATATGTCTGTAATCAGTTGTACATCTTCTTCTCAAATTCATCCTGTGTCTGTCCGACAGTGTATTGGATAAAGGCTCTGTATTATCTAGAATGCTCTCATTAGTATTAGAATTAACAACCGAAATTGGAACAGACTCACCTGGCTCTTGGAATTGTATTTGATCAACATGTCGATTGTGTGTACTTAAGTCATTGATATCTAGAAGTCGCACCATAGATTTCCCGACATTCTTCTGAACGATCCCCGTGGATGGTCGAAGATCATTGCCACGATAATATGTAACTTCTGCAGACTCCAAACATCTCATATTCGACCGAAGAATTCTTCCTTTTAATAGTTTTGATGGAGTCTCTTTCGTCACCGAATGTCTGGCATTTCTATATTGCAGTAGAAAGGTATCTACTCCCCTCTCCAGCTCATTAAATGTTGAGGCGGCAATAGAATCACTCAACCTCGAATGCTGATTTTTCAGCTTATGACACTTTTCGCAATTCTTTGCTGTACGACAAATATCTGCATTTAATGACTGTCGAGAAATGTAGTCAACATGTTGAATTTGCTTGGCACTCCCGTGCTGAACCATTTTCATACTTCCATTGCACTTAGCACACGTGGCTATCAAATCTTTAAGTAAAGCATCAGAATTTTCTTTAGAAACTAGGAAAGACAACTCCACTTTAAGTCTTCTCAAATTCTTTAAACCCAGTATTGACAGTCCCGTTTCACTAACTAAAAATTCACAAGGTATGTATGAGGAATTATCATCTCTTATTAGCAATTCACAACATCCTCGTATAGGCAGTTTGTGTCCAGTAATCCCCAATATTGATACATCAGTGGGTCGTATCACAACGTTCGGATCTAACGATTTCAGGTTCTTGAATGAAATAATGGACTCTATACTACCTGTGTCCACAATAAAGTCATGAAATGAACCAAGCGATGTATATAGTCGCTTTTGAATATGAGCATTACCTTTCGAAATGGTAGTTAAAGATAAATGATCATTAGGATCAGCTGAATTATTGGGATCTAAATTACAAGATTTAGTACTACTTGAGGCAAAATGAACAGTAGCTTTGCATACTGCTTGAATGTGTCCTATCTTACCACATCTAAAACATTTAGCATTACGAAATGTACAATAATAACGAGAATGAAGTTTTCCACATGATAAACATTTGCCAAACTTGGTCTCACCTTTTTGATTTCCTTTGTAATTCTTTTTTGAGACACCGTTCATTTTTACACGAGAATAGGAACCTCTGTTAAACGAACACAATTTTGATTGACCCTGAGATTGCTTTTCATCATGACAACTAATCAAAGTATTGGAAATCTTCATCGACTGAATATCAAGTTCATTCAACGCCTCGTAGTTAATGCACTCAGTTCTAACATCTTGAAAGGAACAGTTTGACATTCTTAACAGCTCTCTTTCCAAACTAGGTATGTTAATTCCTGCAATTAATCGGTCTCTCAGCTGCACATGAAGTTGATCACCAAAATTACACTTGACAGCCTGTTTCTGCAATTCAAGAATGAATTCCTTAACATTTTGGTCATTTTGACGAATCATCTTATGAAATTTCGCTCTTTCACGGCATTCAAAACCAGGGCACTTTACATGATTCAATAATAACTCCTTTAGCATTGCATAGGGAAGTGAAATAGGTTTTTCTGGATATGCCAAAGTTTTTAATAAGCTGTACGCTTCTTTTCCGATGAATGTTAGGAAATGAGCCACAATTTTATCATCTTTGACATCTTTCCTCGACATACTCCAGATTTCAAAACTTTCCAAATAATCTTCAAAAGCTTCAGAAGTAGAATGAATATCTAGCTGTTCCATTACAAGTTCCATCGCGACGCCAGTGTAAAATTTAGAAGTATATGTATCAAGAATTAAAGATATGCACAAACGAATGTATTGTATTCAGAATTCGAAATCAAGCATTTCACAACAACAAGAAGTTACTAGTTCATTCAAACACCACACCTACTCTTAATAAAACTTTTGTTATCGTGTCTTCCTACTATGAACTTGTACTTTTGCCTATCATGTGTAGTGACGTAATCTATTTCATTTCATTGTAATTATTGCCCCAAATTGCCTTGAATGGGTTTAACATTTTCATCATAAATCATCATGTATATTGGAGTAAAGCCTGATGACGATCTAATCGAAAACAATATTGTTTGCTTATATCTGTGTTGTTCTAATTTTCACAAAAGGAATCTTTATTATTCTTAAATCTGGAATTTGCAAATGATCTGGTTGTTTTATCGCACACGCAACAACAAACGCAACAGACGACCACCAATGTAGCAACAACCTCAGCAGCAACAGATCTCAACATTCACAAACGGAGGAGCAAGATTCACCAATAAAACACAACATGCACAAACCAAATCACTCTTGATGGAGATGCCTTGCAAAACTTAAAAACCTTTACATATGTGAGTAGTATCATTGATTAGCAAGGTGGATCAGATGCAGATGTGAAAGCGCGGATTGGCAAAGCAATGGCTGTATTTGTTCTACAATTGAACAACATCTGGAACTCAAAAAAGCTATCAACAAACACCATCAGTCAGTCATTCAGATGCAACGTAGAACTTCGTACCTAAGTACATCAGCTCATGTTGCCATACCACATCAGCACAGAGATGTAATTGTCAATTCAAATCCAAAAGTAGAAGAGGTAGTAAAGGTATCAGGAGTAATCGGACAGGTTAGGATTAGAAGATATTATTCAAAAAGTATGATTCAGTGAGAAAAGTTTAGAAAGTCAAAAGTAGAGGGGTTGAAGAATCCAGAAGATTAGGATTTGAGAGAACACAGAGTATAAATGCACCTGCGCCATTGCAAACGATTTTGAGCCATGTCATTCAAGGTCTCTAACCATCGATTAGTATCATCTCGCGAACCCCAACCAGGTAGTCGACAATTGCCACTCGTCAATGATTTCATGGATTTCTGCCACGTTTTGGTTTGGCCGCCCCTAACTTTCTTCCAACCTATTCCTACACTACAAAACAAAGCTCGTCGAGGCAGTCGGTGGTTAGGCATACACAGCACATGTCTCAACCACCTCAACTGATGAAGTTTCATTACTTCATCTATTGATCTGCCATTCTTACCTAGTACCCGTTTCCTAACAACAGCGTTGCTCACTCGGGTGTCGCACGATATATGAGCGATGCTTCGAACACACCTATGATCGAAAACCAGTAACCTACGAATATCTTCTAATCTGACTGGCCATGTTTCACAGCCATAAAGTAAGACGGAGCGAACCACTGCGCAGTAAACTCGTCCTTTAGTCAGCAAACGGATATCCCGTCTACGCCATAAGTGACGCAGGTTGGCAAAAGCCAATCGA